CTGTTGGGTAAGGTCCCTGCTGATTGCTCATTAAGGCTCCTTATGGGAACTTGGCCTCAGCTGTGGGTGCAGCCATCTTTGTGACGGAGTGATGGTCATTTAGCATATTCCCTCTTTATTTGATAGGATTTGATTTTTTCTGTCATAATAGCTAAGAAGAATAACATTTCAATCAGTGTCTGCCAATAGATGCTGATTTAAACTGAAACAGGACTGAATCTAAAAGATAGGAAGGAACGATTGACTTGAAGCTTTCAAATCCCTAAATAATGTGCTTTAGAAACAATGTTTTATATTTTATTGCTTTCAGGAAACAAATTTAAAAGTTTGAAATGAGTAATTAATTCAATAAAAATAATTTTGTAGTAAAGCATAGAAAAGCAATCTATTTGATCATATGATTCCTAATGTAAGTCCCAGCACCACTATCAATTGACCATTTTATTTTTTAAATATATTTTATTGATTTTTTGCAGAGAGGAGGAGAGAGGGATAGAGAGCTAGAAATGTCGATGAGAGAGAAACATCGACCAGCTGCCTCTTGCACACCCCCTTCCGGGGATATGCCCGCAACCAATGTACATGCCCTTGACCAGAATCGAACCTGGGACCTTTCAGTCCGCAGACCGACGCTCTACCACTGAGCCAAACCGGTTTCGGCTCAATTGACCATTTTAAATGTAATTTAGACTTGTATATAATATAAACATAGTTTTTAAATGTTTTATGAAATTGTTTCACTACTGCTCAGCCGGCGTGGCTCAGTGGTTGAGCATTGACCTATGAACCAGGAAGTCACAGTTGGATTCCCAGTCAGGGTGCTTGCTCCGGTTGTGCGCTCTATCCCCAGTAGGTGGCGTGCAGGAGGCAGCCTATCAATGATTTTCATCAATGATGTTTCTGTCTTTCCCTCTCCCTCTTCCTCTCCCTTCTTCTCTGAAATCAATAAATTGTTTCACTACTCACACAGGGTTCACTTGGATGATTTCATGAACTTGTAGCACTGCTAATCTGGTACGTGGACCAAACATCTCTAAGGCTCCATTTCTCCAAGTTTCTCTGGAGAACATTCACCCTGAGAGATGTTGTCCACAGAGTGGGTTCGCTGGCTACAACTTTGAAAACTACTGCGTACAATAGTCCTTGCAAAGAGGCATCATTCACATTAGCATACGAAAAGCTCTGAAATCTTAAAGGAAAGAAACCTGTTTACTTGTGTGCAATGTAAGGGCTCTGATTTCACGAGCACCAGACTGCTCTTTGATAGTCCGAAAAAAACATGTGGGGGACCAAAGGAGGACATAGCCTTTATTTATGTATTTATGTGTTTATTATTTTTTAAAATATTTTTTTATTGATTTTTTTTTTTTTTTTAACAGAGAGGAAGGAAGAGGGATAGAGAGTTAGAAACATCGATGAGAGAGAAACATCAATCAGCTGCATCCCACACCCCCTCCCCTGGGGATGTGCCCACAATCAAGGTACATGCCCTTGACCGGAATCGAACCCGGGACCTTTCAGTCCGCAGACCGACGCTCTACCACTGAGCCAAACCGGCTAGGGCTCAAAAGAAATTTCAATTGTCCTGTTAATATTTGGCTCTGTTGACTAATGAATTTGCCGACCACTGTCCTGGTTCATAGGTCAACACTCAACCACGGAGCCATGCCGGCAGGCCAGGACGTAGCCTTTATGACTTCCACATGGGGAAGATCCAATGGCTGCCTGTTGGGTAAGTTTCCCAACCCTGCCAGGGTCTGGCGGGGGCTTATCTAGCAGAGGGGAGGGGGCGGTGCCATGCTTGGAATGGCTTGAGTGCAGGCCAAGGACAAACAGGGTCTGCTGAGACTTGTTGGCTGTCAAGGACGTGGGAAGACACCTGGGTCTGTGCTGCTCTGTTTCTTGTGGCCACTGGCCAGGCAAACAACATTCAACTGACTGGGGGCGGGGCGGGGGACTTGGGCTATATCCTTGTGTGACCCCATACTGGGTTTAACCTAGCATGCCCCAGACATATCTGAACACAGAAGACCCCCACCCCCCCATTATAGAAATTCCTAGAAACTCTTTGGGGAATGGTCCTTAAAAGAACAACTGGTCTCAAATAATAATTATATTTGCACATCAGGGACTATCTCAGTCCATTCAAGCAATGCAGGCTCTGTGTAGCATGCTAGAAGAGGCGAGGAAGGATCCTTGTAGGGACTGAATGTTTGTGCACCCCCAAGTTCACATGTGAAATTCTTTTTAAAAAAAATATATTTTATTAATTTTTTTATAGAGAGGAAGGGAGACGGATAGAGAGTTAGAAACATCAACGAGAGAGAATCATCGATCAGCTGCCTCTTGCATACCCCTACTGGGGATGTGCCTGCAACCAAGGTACATGCCTTTGACTGGAATCGAACCTGGGACCTTTCAGTCCACAGGCCAACACTCTATCCACTGAGCCAAATCGGTTTCAGCCACATTTGAAATTCTAACTCCCAACGTAACGGTATTTGGCTGTGGGGCCTTTGGAAGATGATTAGTTCATGGGGTGGAGCCCTCGTGAAGGGTTAATACCCTTAGGAAAGAGGTCCCCCAGAGCCCCTCACCTTCCACTACATGAAGACACAGTGAGAAGGCAGCCATCTATAAATCAGGCATCAGGCTCTCACCAGATACTCAGTCTGTGGTTCCTTGGCCTTGGCCTTCCAGCTGCCAGAACTGTGAGAAAGAAATGTCTTGTCTGTGGTATTTTGTCATAGCAGCGTGGACTAAGATAAGAGCCTATCAGAATTTTTTCCTGCTCTTGCTTAGAAAGTCACCTTTCTCTTTTTTCTGTTTGGGGGGAAGGGAGGAAAGCAAATGGCCTGTTTGATACTGGCCACCCTGTCCACTATAAGAAGTCACTAATAGTCCTAGCCAGTTTGGCTTGGTGGATTGAGTGTCGGCCTGTGGATTGAAGGGTCTCAGGTTTGATTCTGATCAAGGGCATGTACACTGGTTGCAGGCTTGATCCCTGGCCCCAGTTGGGGTGTGAATGAGAAGCAACCGCAACCAATTGATGTGTTTCTCTCACATTCATGTTTCTATCTCTCCCACTGTAAAAACCGATGGGGAAAATCCTCAGGTGAGGATTCCCCTCCCCCAACACACACACACAGAAGTCACTGATAACTGTCATCAGGTTTCCTTTAGCAGCCTTGTATTAATACCAGGACCTGCTATAATCAGTTTTGATTATCCTCCTATATAATAAAAGGCTACTATGCAAATAGAACGGCGGAACAACCGAACAACTGGTTGCTATGACGTGCGCTGACCACCAAGGGGCATATGTGGAACATGGTGGGCATTGGCAGCAGCGGAATGGTGGAGCAGGTGAGTGGGGGTGCCATACCAAGGTGGGGCTCTGGTCACTGCCATTGGGGCAAGTCTCTGGTGGTTACTGAAAATTCTTTGCTCCCGCAAGCCATGGTCCCACCTGGAGCTCAAACCTGCTGCTGGTGCCCGGGGCTGGCGCTGTTAGCTCATGGGAACAGTGACTGGAGAAGGGCTGGCAACAGACAGGGGATGGGGCGGGAGGGGGGGTGCAAGGCGGGAGGAGCCAGGCAGGAGAACGGATGGGCTGAGACCCGCCCTGTGCTAGGCCGCTAGTAAAAATATAGATAAACCACCTAAGATTCTAATTCAGTTGCCACCTGTCTGACTTCCAGTAAAGTTCTCTCATGATAAATTAGGGGTCATTAAAAACAAGAATCATTTCTATGTCTTTTCTACCACTCACTCGCTGACATGCCTTCTGGCCAGGCACTGTGATGGGGATGCAAAGGCAGAAAGAAATGCTCTTTCTTGCATTTGGGAAGACACTTTGCTTTAAATTATTGGAAATACTAAGATTCATGCACTGGGTGGGGTCCCTTGGCTTGGCCTGTACCCTCTCACAATCCTTGAGGGATGTCGGACTGCTGGCTTCTGCCAGGCTGAGGGACCCACTGGTGCATGAATCCATGTACTAGGCCTCTAGTATATATATACACTGAGTGGCCAGATTATTATGATCTCTGAACACATAATAATCTGGCCAGTGTATATCCTATATAATAAAAGGCTAATATACAAATTGTCCACTCAACCAGGAGTTCGACCAGCAGGCAGGTTGGCCAACCACCCATGTCCTTCCCCCTGGCCAGGATGACCGACCACCCATGCACGAATTCATGCACTGGGCTTCTAATATATATATATGTATGTATACACACATACACAGAGTGGCCAGATTATGATGTGTTCAGAGATCATATTGTAGTATGGCCACTCAGTGTAAGATCTTTGGTTAATCTCTTCCCACCCTCCTAACCTTCCCCCTTCCCTCTGAGATTCATTAATCTGTTCCATGTTTCATCCCTGTGTGTTGAGTGTCTGCCCCCTGGTGGTCAGTGCCCATCATAGCTACCGGCTGAATGGTTGCTTAGGCTTTTATATATATAGACAACGAGTATGGAGTTGGGTTAGAGAAACCTTTGAATTTAGCATGTAATCCATCAAAGCTGTCACAGGAGGGATGTTTTCACCAAACACTTTACTTGACTGATTAAATTATTGGCTACTAGTGACTGAACTTAATCTTCTCCAGCCCCAGTCCCTTTCCCCAGAAGTTGGGCATGGGTATGGGGGTGGGGACTAAAAGTTCCAACCCTCTAACCATGTGGTTCCCATGGCAACCAGCCCCCAGCTTTCCTCATTAAAAGTCACCTCATTAAGGTAAGTAGAAACCTTTATCTTTCTTATCACTTAGGAAATTCCAAAGGGTTTAGGAAGTTTGTGTCTAGAATGGAGGAAAAAACCCAAATATATATTTCCTGTAAGAGATGATATCACAGTACCAAACCAAAATTTTTTCACATAACAGGTTTATTTTAGCAGCTCAGTTTTATTACATTCTACATATTTGTTTAATCTATTTCTATCTGTTCTGCATAGGTGGCATATTTATTGACTTTAATAGTTGACTCTTTCATTTGCTATTTGCTGCTACCTGGCCTGAAGAGTCAGGAGGATAAATAGAGCTCGCTTGGTGGAAACGTGATGCAGCATTGAACTTCTCTGCAGAACTTTACTTTGATGTGGGCTTCAGTGCCAGCTTTTCTTCCTCTTCTTTCTCAAATCCTGAACAGACGAGAGATCTTCCCTTGGGATAGCGAGCACAACATTTACGAAGCTCTTGGATGACAGCCTGACACTTAGATTCCATGTAGTTGTTGGCTGAAAAACAGGCAGAATCTAGTCATGATCTTGTAGGACTAAGGCACAGGGGGTGTTTATAGTAGATCAATGCTTCCCACTCCTTTTTTACTTCACTGTATGTACCTACAGACCCGGATGAAAGGATATATCAAAGTCTACTGAATTCTTCGAGACCAGGAAGAAAAGTGTGATTTAGAGTGGTGGTCAAAAGGTATTTTTCTATATCATTTTCTTTTATTTTTTAAAAACTATATTTTATTGATTTTTTTTTTACAGAGAGGGAGCGGGATAGAGTTAGAAACATCCATGAGAGAGAAACATGGACCAGCTGCCTCTTGCACACCCCCTACTGGGGATGTGCCCGCAACCAAGGTACATGCCCTTGACCGGAATCGAACCTGGGACCCTTGAGTCGCCAGGCCGATGCTCTATCCACTGAGCCACACCAGCCAGGACTCTTCTTTTTAAAAAAATATATTTTTATTGATTTCAGAGAGGAAGGGAGAGAGAGAAACATCAATGATGAGAGAGAATCATCGATCGGCTGCCTCTTGCACGCCCCCCACTGGGGATCCAGCTGCAACCTAGGCATGCGCCCTGACCAGGAATTGAACTGTGACCTTCTGGTTCATAGGTCGACCTCAAAGCTCAACCAACTGGGTTCATTTTCCTTAAGGTTGAGTTAACAGTTTATGTTCCTTGGTCTCTAATTCCTTTACAATTTGGTGAATTAGAAAAATGCACATACCCTGCATGTTATTTTGCATACAGTTTAAGGTGGCTGCTAGACCTTCCCTGCCAAGTCTGTGCATCACAGGTTTGAAACTGCAGCCTCAGGGTTAACCCTTTTTTACAGTAGTGAGCTGATAATGGTTTTTACATTTTTAAGGGGTTATAATTTGCTTGCCCTCCTTCCCTCTCTCTCTCCAACAAAGACCTCCTGGCCTCCAAAGCCTAAACTATTTCCTGTTTGGACCTTTATAGAAAATATTTGCAGACCGATATACATAGATCCTAAGTCAAGGAGGACTTGAACTAACGGTTCTAGATCAGCTTCAATTGACTTGAGTCCCTCGATACTGAAATGGGGTGCATGGGAGTTAGCCTATGATAGGAAAGACAATTCTGAACACCCATAGCAGTGGTCGGCAAACTGCGGCTCGCGAGCCACATGCAGCTCTTTGGCCCCTTCCACAAAATACCACGGCCTGGGCGAGTCTATTTTGAAGAAGTGGCGTTAGAAGAAGTTTTTTAAAAATATATTTTATTGATTTTTTTTAACAGAGAGGAAGGGATAGGGGTAGTCAGAAACATCGATGAGAGAGAAACATCGATCAGCTGCCTCCTGCACACCCCCTACTGGGGATGTGCCTGCAACCAAGGTACATGCCCTTGACCGGAATCGAACCCAGGACGCCAGTCCACGGCCTGATGCTCTATCCACCAAGCCAAAATGGCCAGGGCTGAAGAAGTTGAAGTTTAAAAAATTTGGCTCTCAAAAGAAATTTCAATTGTTGTACTGTTGATATTTGGCTCTGTTGATTAATGAGTTTGCCGACCACTGACGCAGAGTATAATGGAGTTGCTGAGTCCAGGTTTGTAGCCACACCAGCGGGATTCAAACCCTCACTGTAACCCTTATTAGTTGTGTGACTCTGGGCAAGTTATGTAACTTCTGTGTTCATTTCCACATCTGTAAAATGGAGGTCACAGTGACATCTACCTCATGGATGAAATTACCAAATGACTTCATATGTTTAAAGCCCTTTTGGCTGTGATTGTCATGCAGGGAATGATTAATGCTAACTCTGAGTCCTTCCAGCCCTCAACCCTCCCACACTGTGGCAAGGGATGTAACCAGTTCTAACTTGATTCTTTTTTCTAAGTCATGGGTTGCTAGTTCAAATCAGTTTATTTATTTGGAAGAAATTAATTTGTGAAAAAGATTTTTCATTTTTCTTAAATTTGGAGAAAGGGATGAATAAAATGGCATTTATACATGAACACTTTGGATCAAAAGGTTTTACAGAGAATATTGCTTACATCATAAAATGGAAAGCTCAAGAATAGGCATTAAACAAGGATTTTCGTTGATGCTGAGTCTTCGGGGCTGATAAAAAGAACAACTGGTATCTTGTAGTTGCTTCCCAGATAAAGTGGAAAATATATTTTAAAAAAAAACATTGAACATAGTACCTTGTAAACATTTCTGTATTTCACAGGCTTGTTTCTGGCACGGATCCTTCTGCAGCATATCCAGTAAACTAAAATAAGAAAAATGATTTTTATTTTGCCTTTTATTTATAAAGACTTTAAAGCCCCTCTAGAAGGAATTTTCTGCAGAGACGAGCAGTACGCCCCTCCAATTGCTGGAAGACAATTACACTGAGAAATACTCTTCCCGTTCATAGGATGAATCAACTGTATTTTTTTATAATATCCATTTCATTTGACTCGAAAGAGGTAAGTAGCTTTACATGGAAATAAAGACCCTTGAATTCAATAAATTCATCCTGAATATTGTAAACCGATGCTGGGCTAGAGGAGCCGACGCCGGAGCCTGAAGGACCTGCCCACTGCCCAACTGTCATTGACAAAACTACCCTTGGCAATGAGCAAACTCCTTGAGCCTTCCCCCTTATTATTAATGTGTAAACTGGGGACCATACCTACCTCAAAGCATGGGTGGAAGAATTAAATGTGATCATGTACCCAAAGTGCATAGAATTGTGCCTGGAAGGCAGTAAGGATTTGCTACATGGTAGTTATTCCCGAGATTTTTAAAAAGCAAAACTAAGGTGTTTTTTTTGCATATAAAATGTTATAACTATTTTAACCCAGGAAATTATCAGGCAGTAAATGCTTTCTTAGGGATCAGCACTATTTGGCCCTGAGATAAGTGGTAGTTTAGCAGCTAAAATGTCTTTGTTGTTGTTTTGGGTTGTTTTTTGTTTTTGTTTTTTTGAACTCTTACAGAAAAAACTGATTTAAAATATCTGTAACCAGAGAAAAATCTTAAGTGCCCACTCTTTTGGTTATTAGCAACGTCTCAGAATTTGAAGACACAATTTCAGAAAGAAAAAGGGCCAGGAGCCTTGGTAGCTAATTTCATTAATGCAAATAACCTCCTTTACTCCCCCTCCCCCCGGAGCTCCCTAAGTTCTTAGTAGATCCGAGTGAGGTCAGTACTGGGATGGGAAATACTGGAGCAAAACCCAAGATATTTACAGGATGGGAGAAGGAAAGGCAGGTGAATTGCTGCAGGGCAAAGAAACGACCAATAGATGTTGATGCTGCTAGGAGCTGCTCTCTTCTCTCTAAATCAGTACCAAGTTCTTGGTGATCAGAGCATCTGTGGTGCAGCAGGTGCTGACTTTTGTGGGATTCATCCGATCCCAGTTCCGGCTGCTGATGTCCGTTACAGGTTCTATGGCATTTTCCAAAGGAGTTGATTTCAAGTTACGAATCCTGACTACGGTAAGTGCTTTTGTGGACTCGCTCTCTGCCTGTGTGACCCCCTCTCTGCAGTTCCACTCGCGGTGTTCTTCATGACCCTTCCTAAACTTCCGTTTCTTGAGCAGTAGTTGTTCAGCCCACGCCCTCCCCCAGGCCCACAGGGGGGCGCACTGCAGTGGTGGATGAAGTGATTGCCATATATTGAACGGGACAGAGGAGCATTTCTTCCCAGAATCCCAGCACCTGGAAGAGAATAGATCATTAAAATCACCACAACCCAACAGAGCGAGAGAGAGAGAAGACAAGAGAGGCAGCGGAGAAACAAAAATACATACCAGGTTAGTCATCAGGCAAAAGCTTAAGCAACAGCTCCTGGACTCCCCTGACCTGCCAGAGAAAAGAAAAGTTTAGGGAGCACCCTGCTATCAAGAGCCCCAATGAGATGGGAAATTAAGCAACATGTGTACCATTAAGTGATGCTGGATCTGCCACAAGCGCGAGTTGTTATCCATGTAGCGCTGCTCGGGGTAGAGTTGCCACATGAGAGGTAGCTGGGAGGTAAGGAGGTCACTTGGTCTGACTGCGTCACCTAAGGGAACCTGGACTTGCTGGATTCGGGCCCTTAGGAACGTCCCCTGGTGGAAAGAAACGACCGAAAAATAAAACCAAAGACTTTCAGGATGCTGCGACTTGTCAGAAACCAAGTTGATTGAAAGCAAAAAAAAATCAATGTAAAGAAATAAGCAAAAACGGACAGTTACCTCTTCCACGACGGCCACCCACGTGCGCTGGTATTCGTCTCGGTAGATACCCTCCTGGTGAACCCAGAGGCGATCGGGTGGAGCCCCCACATCCTCTCCTGCCATTCTGGGCTTTGAGTTCCAATTCTAGCCCTGCTTTTCTCCACCTAAGCCTGCAGCGCCCGCACACAGGACACAGGTGTGACTTGTTGGGTTCGCATGAACTCATCAGCGAGCAAGGTGAGCTGGCACTAGCAACCACCAACCAGAACCAAGCTTCCTCTACGTCTGCCTGCACAGTCTAAATAGAACCGAGGCCACCGGAAGCTCCCCTGCGAGACACCCAAGTGACACTCGGCCAAAGCACTCGAGAATTCCGTTAGGGATGGAGTTCTGTGGCAATGGAGGACTAGCATTACAGGAAGCTGGGCAGTGGTCTCAAGCTTGCATTCCCAAAGCAGCGTCTGACGAAGTGTAGTTAGCAGCAGAATATGCGGAGGAGTGAGCCCAAGGACACACTTATTTGGGCAGGAATGCATTGTGCAAGACAGCCGCACGCCCCACTCCCCGTGGAAAAGCAGTTTGCCTTTTACTTTTTTTTTTATTTTATTGATTTTTTTACAGAGAGGAAGGGAAAGAGAGAGCCAGAAACGTCGATGAGAGAGAAACACCGACCAGCTGCCTCTTGCACACCCCCTACCGGGGATGTGCCCGCAACCAAGGTACATGCCCTTGACCGGAATCGAACCTGGGACCCTTCAGTCCACAGACAGACGCTCTATCCACGGAGCCAAACCGGTTTCGGCCAGTTTGCCTTTTAAAAGGTGATGCTAGGAAGGCGAATCATGTGCGTGGCTTTCTAAATTGAAATCAAAAGTTTGTTTTAAGAGCAGACGACCTATTTATCAGGTGACTTAGAAAGGTCTAGAAGCTGGGGCATTTCCAGAAGGGGGGAATCGTCTTAGGGAAAATAGTTAAGGTAGCTTCATGGAATTTCTGAGCTGCAAGAGGCTTTGGGACCATGGCGATTTGGAGCTGATGGGAGAAAATGATAAGAATCCACCTGGGTCCTTGTCATCTTAGGAATGCCTCTCAGGATGTCACAGGGGGCCATTTTCCCATACGAGTGTGGGTTCAAATTATGATTTCCCAAGTCGGGAGCCCAGAAAAGTCCCTCTGCCCTTCGAGAGGTATCGAGCAATCCCACCTCCTGGATCAACTCGTTACATGGGCAAACTGGGCTTGAACCCGTACACCCTCTGCCCAGCCCTGGTCGCATTCCAGGGCCTCGCAGTAGCTTCACCTGCACTTTGCACGGCGCGGTGTTCACTGCGCTTCTTTCTACTTTCGGCAGAGCACAGGTACAATCCTGGGCGTCTCCCCACAAAACCCAGGCCTCCCATTCCAACTGGGTTGCCCCTGGGTGGGAAAGGAACCGCAGCACAGCGTGGGAAGTTGTTAAACCCTCCAGTGAGACTGTCCAGAGCAAAGGAGGTGCCAGAACACAGAGCGAACCGTGCAGCCCAGGACGGAGTGAGCCAGAAGGGATTAAACGAGGCTCTTTGTTCAAGACCGACAATCTGAGCCTGATTTTTTTTTTCTAAACACTGCTAGTTTACCTTCCCTTAAAAGGAAAGTAGAAAATATCTTTTATAGACTTCAGACATGGTCTGATTTTAGTGAATAATTTAAGAACATAATCGTTGCTTTGCCCAGGGTACCCTGACGCTGAGGCCATTGCCAGCTCGTCTTATAGGGCTCTTTCATTTCAAATGTCCTGTCTTACATGGTCCCCTTATTTCAAATTCACCTAAAGTGAAACCCCTTCTCCTTTAAAAAAAAAAAAAATATATATATATATATATATACACACACACACACACACACATATATATATATATATATATATATATATATATATATATATATATAATTGATTTTTTTTTACAGAGAGGAAGGGAGAGGGATAGAGAACCAGAAACATCGATCAGCTGCCTCCTGTACAGCCCCCACCGGGAATGTGTCCGCAAGCAAGGTACATGCCCCTGACCGGAATCGAACCCGGGACCCTTCAGTCCACAGGCCGACGCTCTATCCACTGAGCCAAACCGGTTTCGGCAGAAAACTCCTTCTCCTTAACCAAATTCTGATTTCTCTTAAAGGCGACACCGCCGCTCCGGTTCCTGCAGAAATTTACTAGTTGTCTTGAACCCTTTCACCTGCTTCAGTTGCTAACATGCGATCTGTCACCGATTCTGGGAAGAACTACTACCACTGCGTTGGAGATAAACTTTCTCCCAAACACTGGCTAATTTTAGCTCCATATCCTTGCTCTTGCTCTTACTTGCCTAATGCCTGCTGGGGTCTCTGTACCTCAGTACTATTATGGCCGAGTGCAAGTCTGCCTTCTCCATAAAGACTTGCCTCCCTATGACCACTATAGCATGTATGTCTAAACTCATAGGCTAGCCTCTAATTATATATTTCTTTGCATATTTTTTGCTCTGCTTATTTCACAAGCCCTGGCTCTCCCCAAGTACGGTCCTTGAAGCTCGTCGGTAGCAGGAATCATACAGTACTGGGCATCCTCCAAGTCTCAAATATTAATCAAATAGATATCATTGTTCTGCCTCTCCTCCACACCGTGGCTTTGGAAAGGAGTGATACAAACAAAAACCCAGGGAATGCTAATATCAAAAGAAAATATATTCAAGTCTGGATTTTAAGTACAAAAGAAGTAAGTGTGGCTACTTTTTTTTTTTTTTTTTAAGTAGAAACCAAGTGTTAATGGGTTTCAGTACCATCTCGACTTTACAGATAGGTCCTAGCAACAACCGACGTTATTGACATTGAAATTTGTTTTTGAAAAGCGAAACTGTACTGGTTACACTGGCACGTTAAGGAAATGATTCCAGGGGGCAAACAAATTGGAGATGATGGTCTGGGTTACTATGAATCACTACAGAGGCCTGAGTCATTACCAAATATGCTCGAAAAGCAGCATGAGGCAAGCCGGTTTGGCTCAGTGGATAGAGCGGTGGCCTGCGGACTGAAAGGTCCCAGGTTCGATTCCGGTCAGGGGCAAGTACCTTGGTTGCGGGCACATCCCCAGCGGGAGGTGTGCAGGAGGCAGCTGGTCGGTATTTCTCATCGATGTCTCTAACTCTCTCTCTCTCTCCCTTCCTCTCTGTAAAAAAAATCAATAAAACACATTTAACTTATGCTACCACTCAGTGAGCACGCAGGCCCAGTAAAAGGCGCCTGCAGTGATCCAGGGACTGAAAAGCCATAAAGGGAACGTTAACCAACATCCTCAGCAGAGAGCCACAAAAGCAAAAGCTGAGTGAGAGGGGTTGAGATCAGAGCCCACAAAATCACAGGCTGTATGAACGGGACCCCATTTCTCTAAATGGGATGCGTGAAATGCTTGCCCCGAACTTTTTCCCTGGTCAAATAAGTTTGGGAATCTGAGAGCGTCCTAAAGCACGTTAACGCAGTAAAAGCTCTGGCAGGTGTTGTAGTCAAGAAACTATTTTGCTGAACGCTTCCCAAATTTCTTTGACTAGAGAGCATTTCTCTGCACGGAAGACTCGCTCCCAGAAGTCAGGACGCCTGGAATTGGGATGAATCTCTTTAAACCTCAAGATAAGCTTAGGTACAAGGTGCACTACAATACACAGACCATAAACCCTCAACTCAAGGAATACTGCCAGCTGC